AAATTTATTTAATGTAAAGAAAACTGTTTATTTTGTACTAATCGTAACGAGTTTTTCAAAAAAAAAAAAAACTTATGAAGACCCATATTCATACTACTTTTTATTTTCATGCATAAGAGAATAAGAGACGATAACTTTCCTTTCTTACCTACTTACTGGTACCCTTGGAGGTTCCTAGGAATGTCCCCTACTCATGAACTAAATATCCAATTTAAACAATTAACCAGCAATCCTCATACCCCGTCCGATAATAGACGCTAAACATTTTATCGTCTCGATACCCCGTCCAGTATGAGAGTGAAGTATATCTCCTAAACCTTCTCGGTAAGGGACTTTTCAATCCCGTTTAACTGAGGTATAGGGACAACTAACAAACATATACCAATATCTCATATTATATTTACAGATTAATTAGAGTATATTTATGCAGATGATATATTTATCATAACAAGGGATTGACTAACTAGATAACTAAATAAAACAGATAAATCGATAAGACCACTTAAACTATAAATTAAAAACATGTACAATATGATAACAAGTAGGACAGTTAAAGAAAATAAACTAAAAAACAAGATAATTGTGAACTAGCCGGTTCCGACTCCACTTGTGACCTGTAATTATTTTTAGAATTTTTAAAAATTTTACAAAATACAAAATTATACATTGTTAAGTCTCAATTTATTGTAACGGAGAATAGCGTGAGGGATCCTTACCCAAATCGGTGTTTCGAGACGTCGGCTGGCTACTACGCCTCTTAACAGGTATCGAGTTTGCTGAATTTTTCCTATGGAATCTATGTAATAAAAATTTGGTACGTGATCAATTTTGACAATTTAAAAATAAATAAAAAGTTATTTATAAATTAATTTAATTTTATTTTATTAAATTATAAAAAAAATAGGTTAGGGATGTAATCGAAAATAATTTTGGGAAAAAAGGTAAAAATTTGGGTTCATGAGGGTGTTTTTGAAAAAAAAAATTAGAAACAAGGGATTGAAATGCAAAAAGAAAAAATTCAACTACGTAGGACGACCCAGTCAGCAACCTCGACAAATTGGTGCCGCATGGCAAGACACGCTGATGTTGATGCCACGCGAGCGATCTGCGTGCCCAGTGATCGGATGACCCAGGATCAATCCTGCGCGCGTGGACCACTCAAATTCATTCCCTCCTTAGGCACGATCAGACGGACGAGATCAATTGCGATGAACGGTCCAGATTTGTTTCTTCCTTAAGGGTGATCAGACGGACGAGATCAATCACGATGAAAGGTCTAGATCGATGGGAGATGAGTATAAATATTTTGCGTTGCATGAGAACCCAAACCCTAGTCGGCAAACTGCCAACCGCCGCCGCACTAGAGTCACTGTCAGCCGCAAAAAAATGTAAAAATTCATTTTACCTGCTCAAAATTTGATTTCGAGCTCCTGTGGCCAAATTAGAGCAAGAGGGACGACGGGTGAGCCAGAAATCGTGGCAAAGTTCGGTGGAGCCGTTGCGGCCAAAACCCAAAAATCTCTCTGATGAGTCCCTTTTCGCTTCCCATTTCACGGGATTTTCTGGTCATCGTGTTCACGTCCTTTTATGTGCAGGTTAGCCGAAGAAAGAACCCGAGCAACGAAGGAGAACTGGCAGACCCGCCGCACCTAGAGGTCTCCCTCCCGCCGATTGGTTTGGTTTTCGTGATTTTCCAGTCAACCGGCCCACCCAACATATTTTTTAGCAAGGATACGTGCAAAACTGGCTAGGCCAAAGCGAACTACCACCGTGGGTGGCGGAGTTGGCACTATACCGGAACTCTAAAATTAGCTGGAAAGAGTTTTGGACACCGATTTTAGATTTTTAGGGTATTTTTAGGTATATGACGAATGTTTTGGATTCCATAAAAAAATTCAAAAAATTTAGTACCCGTTAGTAGATGTAGTAGACAACTCGATATCTCGAAATACTAATCCGGGTAAGGATCCCTCATCCTATTCTTCATTATAATAAATTGAGGCTTAACGTTGTATAATTTCGTATTTTTATGAAAAATTAGAAAATCTTAAAAATAATTACAAATCATTAGTGGAGCTGAAATCGGTTAGTTCAGTATTGTCCCGATTTCCTATTTATTTTCTTATACTGCTTTATTTGCTTATTATTATATGGTGCATGTTCTAAATTTTTATTTTCTATAGCCTTATCGGTTTATCTGGTTTATTCAGTTATATACTATCAGCATGAATATAGTTTAATTGATCTGTAAATATGATATGAGATAGTGGTTTACATGGTTGATTGTTTTGTTGATAGAAATCTCTATGTGAAAGACTTATTGGGTATCCAGGGAAAGGGCGGACAAGTCCGGTACATAGAAAACCCCACCGTGAACGTCACTCAATCGGACGAGGCTAGGAAGTTACATACCGAAAATGTTTGGGAGATATGGTTCACCCTCATAGCATACGGGATATTGAGGCGATGAAATATTTGGTACCCATTACCAAACGGGGTATGAAAACGACTGGTTAATTGCTAAAATTGGATATTGGGTTCACAAATAGGAAAACATCTCTATGGACCCCCAGGGGGGTACCAGTAAGCAAGTAAGAAAGAAAATTGTCGTCTCTTGTTCACTTGTGCGTGAAAATAATAAGTGGTATGGATGAGTTTTCATAGGTTGTTTTTAAAAAACTTGTAACGGTATGTATCAAATAAAAATCTTTAATTAAATGTGTTTAATTAAAGTAATGGCTCCATTCGAAAATTTTTACCAATATTTAGTTTTACGTATTTATGATTAGTGTGATATTCTTATTGAGATAGTGTAGTTCGTATTTTCATTAACCATTTTAGATCAAAAAAACCAAGATCCAGAGTCCGATCAGTAAGAGGGTTGTGAGTAGTTCACCACCCGAACTTCCTTTAAGTACTAGTGACAGTTGTTTTAATATGTTTATTTATTTATTTTTTTAATTAGTGTTTGTATTTTAAAAGAGAGATTCTCGTAATTTTATTGGACATTTTAAATTATTGTGTAAGGAATGTAAATCATAACTCTTATGCATTTAAATTATAAATTTATTTTCTTTAAGATTACGTATCTTTACAATAAAAATAAAAATATATATAATTTCTTATATTTTGAAAATTTATTTACTATGTATTATATCTTATTTTATTATTTATGGACACGGAATTAAATACAAAAAAACCAAAAAAATAAAAGAATCTAATAGTGCGGATACCCAATTGATTTTATTTATTAATAATTTATCATGTTGAAGAAATGACAAATTAATAATTTAATTTAATATTTAAAATATTATTTATTAAATAGTTGAAAAGTCATTTTCAAATTAAATAATTAATTATATAAAAAAAAAAAGCAGCTCTAAAAAATATTATCATGACGTTGCCCATAATTTATTTTTTAATCATATCCCTTCAGGATCCACCACAAAAAGATCTCAATCATTAATCTGTATATGAGGTCAGGGTTGTACACCACGAGTCACCGCTTATAAACAGATATATATATATATGTATATCTATCTGTTTACAAGCCATATATCTATACATATATATATATTTAAAAAAAATTAAAAATCAAGAAACATACTTGTTTTTATTTCTATTTGGGGCAAGGAAAAGGAAGAAACATGGGAAAATGTTTCTTAAAAAAATTAAAAGTACCATAAATAAAAGGGTTTATAAATTAAAGCATATATGTATGTATGTATGTATGTGTGTGTGAGTGTGTGTATATATATATATGTATGTATTGGGTAAAGAAAAAATAAAGTTGATGAGAAAGGCAGACAACAAGACCGTGTTTGTCAGCTTCGGATTTGGCAGAGCACACTGCTTATCTCTCATCTATCTCATTATTCTCCCAACCAATGTTATAATTTATTATAATTTTTGTCAGAGAATTTCCTCATTTCCATGTTTGTGTTTATTTATTTATAAAATTATCAAATTTATTGTCGAAAAGTATTAAATTTAATTAAAAAATTCAAAAAATATATATAATTTTAAAGAGTATTTGGTACATGATATATTCTATTATAAATTATGAATGTACAACGTTAACAAATATTTATTAATAAAAATTTTATTAATTTAAATATATTTAAAAATAAATTGATAAAAACGATATCACTATTTTAAATTTATACCTTTTTATTTACGCCTATTATATATTGGGTTAATTATACACTTTTACATCTCATCTATTAATTTTTTTTTAATACCAAATTTTTAATCTTGATCTAAAAATATAAGTTATTTGAACTATTAGTAGTTTACAAAATAAACTTATAAGTCTAGGTTTCAGCTCTCTAAGTGAAATTAATAACTTTTTTAGTCACAATCAGATAAAGTTAAAATTTATCCGTAAATAGTATATTGAATTTAAATCAAATTTTGGATTTATCTATGTCGATTTATCGATTGATGTTGCTAAGCAAATGAAAAGGAGAAATTCAAAGTTGTAATAGTGCAAAAAGGAGAAATTTTATGTGAAATTTAAACATTAAATTCAGTGGGATGAACCTGAAATTTAACCCTTTTTCTTCCATAAAAAATATTTTTATAAACTAGTAAAATACACATATTATATAGATATTTAAAATATAAAATCATGAATCAATTTAAATATTTAAAAAATGTACTTTTATATATTGAATAAAACCCAGATCCACTTTTCCATTTTCCTATTTTTTTTTTTAAGGGTGAGTGAGCCCAACTTTGGGGGGGGGGGGAGAATTCCTCAAAGCCCAATTTCGCAAAAACCCAAGTTCTAAGCACTGGAATTTCTTCAACCTCCAAAGCTTTCAGCATTCCAGAAAGCCTTCAGATTAATCTTAAAAAGTGAACATATACCAGGGATAATTAATCTTTACCTAAGAAATAAAAAACGTGGACTTACCCATATACGTATATGTACATAAAAACATATGAATATTTGAAATGTGTAAACCTCATCCACAAGTTCCCTAGAAACAAACAAGCTAGATGTAAGTCTCATCTTCAACCACCATAATAGAAAGCATGAATAGAAATACACAAGATACGCCCAAAAATTTTAATGCAATACTATTGAGTCTAAGATTAAAATACATTATGGTAATGTATATGCTTACTCGGATCATTAATTTTCACAG